ACCCTCGGGGTCCCTCCGGTGCTGCTGCCTCTCGCTGGCTGCTCCTGTGGCTTGAAGCATGCGCAGACCCAGGGCATCCTGCTGGAGGAGGAGCTGTCCCCCACGCACCCCGCTCCCTCACTCGGGACTTCTGGGGCTGAGGGACCCCGGACACCTCCCTGCCAGCAGCGCAGCCGGCCCAGGAGCTAGTCTGACCGAGTTGCTCAGCACTCTGCAAAGGGGACTCTAGCAGAACTGGCGATCACTTACAATAACAACAAAGTTCTCTGTGAACATTTGAGAATTTCTGCACATTTTAAGAAACAGTTCTTGCCCGGCTGGCGTGGCCCAGTGGTTGAATGTCAACCCATGAACCAGCAGGTCATGGTTTGATTCCCAGTCAGGGCATAGGCCCGGGTTGCGGGCTTGATCCCCAGTGTGGGGCGTGCAGGAGGCAGCCGATTCATGATTCTCATCATTGATGTTTCTATTTCCCTCTCCCTCTCTGAAATCAATAAAAATATATTTAAAAAAACAAACAGTCCTTCAAGGAGTGCCTGGACAGTGGGCATATCCGCAGTGGCTCTCGGCCAGGGCTGTGGAGACGCGTGTTTGGGGTCACAGTGGCCAGGAGCCAGCACAGCTGCCCACAACAGGGGTTCCTGCGGGGAGGCTGGTTCTACCCAGAGGCCAGCAGGGCGCTGCTGAGGAACACTGGAGTTAACACCAGAAGCCCCACCCAGGGTTTGAAGAGCCGGCACATCAGCAGCATCTGAAGACAGACGCCCGTTTCGCTCCCAGGAAGGCCTGCCCACTGTCTGATCAGTGAAAACCTCCCAAGGAGAGAGCCGAGGTGGCAGCGTAGGTAAACGCCGGTACAGTACCCCTGCCTCCCACACGGCGTCAGCATTACAACTACAGCCACCACCATCGCCTGAAAGCCGGCTGAATGGAAGTCCGACGAGAAAGCACACTGGTCGGAGGGAGGGGCAGAGGAACGAACAGGCTGGGCCGGCACCCACGTGTGCCACTTCTTTAATCAGGAGGGAGGTGGTCTCCGTGGAGGCCCCCTGTGAGGGCAAGGGAAGATAAGTCCCCGTAATACAGGCTGTGAAAACCAGCAGGATTGGGGCTCAGTGACAGAGGCTGCTGGAGACCTAACTGTTCCTCTTAAAGGGCCAGCGCATGCACTGAACTTAAAAGGTCCTGCTTCCTCTGAGCTCCAGCGCTGGGGGTAAGGTGCTGGGGGACCCAGACATACGGGAAGGAACTGGATTATCTGGCATCAGGGCAGAAACTAGAACCATCAGACAGCTTCAGATCATGCCAGATTACAACTTTACACAAGCAACACACTCGGAGCAGACACAGTGAGCACCAAAGCCCCACTGAAGCATAGGGGTGTCCTGCTCCACAGGGGTGTCTCCTGCACAGCAGCTCTCCCACTGTAGGGCAGCTGTCCTCACAGCCAATTGGCCTGGAGATCAGTGCCTCCCAGGGACACCAACAGCAATCAAGGCTCAACTATAACAAGACTCGGCAGTCTTCACAGAACCAGCACAGCTGCCCCTTCCCCAGCTCCAAACATGCCTAGAGGAGAAACGGACTGTGCTGCATAAATATCACTTTATGTGCTTTACGTGGCGTCACACAGTCCCTCCCCATCACTGACGGCGGAGGCTGGACAGGAAGCAGCAGGAACAGCCTCCTCTGGGCAGGCCAGGCTGGCTCAGCCCCCGCCGCCCTCACCGCACCTCACTCCCCCCCCACATGGTCATCGGAGACCCTACAGGGCCTCGTCTGCGGCCTCGTCCGCCTCGAGCACTTCCACGTGGCTGTAGGACTTCCAGGCTTGCAGGTTGCAGCTCCTCAGGATGGCGCCCAGCTGCTTCCCGGGCCCCACCTCGAAGGTCCTGGGGAAGTCGGAGCCCTTCTTCCTCTCGTACAAGGCGTGCATCGTCTGCTCCCACTTCACCGGGGAGACCACCTGCTTCACCAGCAGCTGCTGGATGTGCTTCGGGTGCACGTACCTGCTCCCGCTGACGTTGGCGTGCACGGAGACCAGGGGCATCTTCACGTCGATGGCCTTGAGGACCTGCGCCAGGGGCTCCACTGCGGGCTCCATGAGGCGGGTGTGGAAGGCCCCGCTGACCGGCAGCATCTTGGTGCGTTTGAAGTGGTACTTGGAGGAATTCTTCTGGAGAAACTGCAGAGCCTGCAAGGGAAAGGGTGGAGGGTTAAGCCAAGCAAAGCCCAGGGGAAGACACAGCAGCCAGCACGGCTCCGTCACAGCCCGTGTCCAGAACATGCTCATCCGCACCTCCTCCCACACCTCCTCCCGCAACCACAGGCCGTGAGGGGCTCTATTCACCTCATTCGTTAGAGCGGCTCCCGAGTCAATGCCCCGGAGGCCTCCTCCAGGACCTGGCCATTCACCAGTCGCCCAGGCAGCGGACCACAGTGTGGCTCAGGGATCTGGGTCCCATCCCAGCACTGTCATCCACTAGCTTGGTGGCCCCAGGCAAACCACTCGACCTCTGAACTTCTCACTCCATCCCCAAAAAGCACCATTTCATCTACTTTAAAAGGTTGCTGGGAAGTGATCAGATCGGAGGGGTGTGACAGAGTCTGATAACAAAAAAGCGCTATCTAGCCCTGGCCGAAGTGGCTGTTGGTTGAGCACAGCCCTGTGCACTGAAAGGTTGCCAGTTCGATTCCCGGTCAGGGCCCAGGCCCAGGTTGTGGGCTCGATCCCCAGTGTGGGGCGTGCAGGAGGCAGCTGATCCATGAGTCTCTCTCATTATTGATGTTTCTATCTCTCTCTCCTTCTCCCTCCCTCTCTGAAATCAATGAAAATAAAAATCAACATAAAATATTTAAAAGAAAACATTTTAAAAAGCACTGTTTAATGCAGCAGTCGCCAACCTTTCGGACCTCACGGACCACCAGTGGTCTGCAGACCGCTGGTTGGCAACCGCTGGTCTAATGTGTCCATTTTCAATCAAATTTGGCTACCCCTCGTCATGTTTACTAGGGCCTGTTCTCACGTTACTCAGGAACCTCCAACATGAAAACCCAGGAGGCTCCCAGCTCATTTCCCAGCGCACGGTCTTCCCCGGGGCCCTCCTCCGGGCTTCCCTGCAGAAGAAGAGAGCTCTCCTCCGGAAACCCAGCCCGATCCGGGGCCAACAGGCCTAAACCAGGAGCTGCCTGCTAACAACGTAACTTACAAACGTCTCCAACAATAGATATTCCTAAGAGACGCTTTGCTCTCAGGACATGGCCCAGGGCTGCCCTCCACTGGGACCTGTGCCCTAAACAGTCTGCCATTCCCCCGAAAGCCAACACCATCCACAGCCTGCTCCCCGCAACCCGTCACCATCAGGGCCTGCCCCCCCAACCCGACACCATCGGGGCCTGCTCAGAGCCTGGGCCAGCTGCTCCCTGAAGGACTAAGTTAAGCCTTAGGTCATGGCAGTCACATGATCTTGGGCGACTTGACTTGACCTCTTGTGCCTCAGTTTCCTCCTCTCTAAAATGGGCACCGGCAGTAGCTACAGGGCTGTTAGGAGAACTATGCTTGGCAAACAAGTGCTATTTAAGCGTTAGCAGTCACTCTCTGGAATACCAAGCCCATCCATGCCCACCGGGGAACTTAACAGGGGACCTAGTCTGTGCCCCCACAGGAGGTGGCTTACTGTTTTGGGTGGCACGGCACCTCTGGGGGCCCCTCCCTGCAGGGGTGTATCCTGGCCACCCAGGCTTGGCCAGGGCAGCCCTCTGCCCTCCTGTCACTCACTCTCCCGTGCTGTTTGTCAATGTCCCACATAGAGGCTGCCCCAAGCAGTTTGAACCCCAGGACAGGTGCCAGGTAGAGCCCAGCCCAGCACCGCCCAGCACACCATACCCGGGTGGGGACCACACCTGCGGGGACCGCTGAGGGGTTCAGGCTGTCACTGTGGCAGAAT